CCAATATGGCCATGTATTTTTACAAATGCAGGTACAAAGGCTTGTTGTCATCCAAGAATGTTTTTGACTTTGGAGGCAAATTTTGTTCCTTTTACCTCTTCTCATGGACTGTTATGAACTTCCTGCTAATACACGTGTTTGCTGAAAACTGGTTATTGAAAACAATTATCACCACGAGCGGTTGTTGTTAAAACAGAAGAAAAATCACATTTGTTTTTTAACCTTTTTCTGTTCCTCGCAGCTGGAACCATCTCAGGTGAGGAGATGCCCATCATAGCGAGGATGAACATTAAAGAGCACCGTGACAGTTTCTCGAGTGAAAAGTTTAACTTCAGACTTCACCACAACATCACCTTCTACGTGTATGTGTCCAACTTCAGCTGGCCAATCAAGATCCAGGTAAGGTTGCATGGATGCAGGGATGTGAAAAGTCAGGAGAGTTGGGAATGCTGTAACTTCATATTCATTTGACTTAGTAACTGACTGTGAGTCATGTAGACATGCCTTCAGATTTTTCTTTTTGTATTGTGATACATTAAAAATCAGCAGTTTAGAAATGTGTTACTAAAAAGATTAAAACGAACACTGAAACTAAAACACAACAACTCTGATTCTGAGTTTTAGCTCTGGTGAATGAAGTTGTTATTGCAATTATTTTAAATTGACAATAATATTTCTGCTGTTTAGTCTGCCATTGATACAGGATATGATGAAAATTATTATGATAGTGTTCATTTTGAGGTCTGACTGTGATGCATGCTGGGAACTCATCAGCTAGTCCTCCAACTTTAGCCTCAAAAGGCAGACATCTGAGCCAAAACTTCCTGTTTCATCCACCTACCGCTCTGGTGGACCTGCTACATTATCAGGTCTTTGAATCAATACCTTCAGTACAATATTGTGGCAAGCTGAGGAATCTTAACAACAAAGAACTCACCCAAAGGTTGAGCCTGTTATTCTACCCCAAGCAGGAAGGGGGAGTTTTTTATTGAACAGTTCACTGTGTTACACTGTGCTTCAGAGGGTCAATAACCCCACACATGAACTCACTCATGGGCTGTGTCCCA